TGTTTCTTTGTTATTCATAAGGTTTTCCCTGGCCAATTCTTTGAGAAATAGATGGCCTCTTCCTTCTTCCTAGTCTGTCTCAGTCTGTAAGCTGGGATGATACCTGTGCACCATGTGCATCCCGCTAGGTTAGAAACACCAGTGGCTCAGCCTAAAAACTCACATCAACATATCACCATGGTAGGACAAACCGACAGACAAGTTTGCCTCCCTGTTGGACACCTCTTGTACCACCCTTACCTGGGTCCCTGCGGCTGACTCCTCCTCTGTTCAGTTTCCTAGGCCTTTTAATCCCCTTTCTCCCGCTCTCCCACCCTGCTGGTTTAGGCGTGCCTGAGTTCCTCTCTTTACCTGGATCCCTGCAACTGACTGCTCCTCTGTCCGAGTTCCTGGCTTTTAATCCCCTTTTTTCTGCTCTCCTGCACTGCTGCTCTGGGTGTGCCTGAGTTCCTCTTCCCACTTGGATCCCTGCGGCTGACTGGTTCTCCGTCAGGGTTCCTGGCTTTTTTTATCCCCTTTCTCCCACTCTCATGCCCTGCTGCTTTGGGCGTACCTGATTTCCCTGTCCTCACCTGGATCCCTGCAGCAGCTCATTTGGTGTAGGGTTTTCTTTAATCATGTTAATGTGTACAAATCAGCGGTATTTAGTATATTCACAGTATTATGCAACTATGACTTTTATCTTGTTCCAAGATATTTTCACCACCCCAAAAAGAATCCTGTGCTTGTTAGCAGTCACTCCCCACTCTCCCTTCCCCCACCCCAGGCAACCACTGATCTGCTTTATGTTTCTCTGGATTTGCCTATGTCCATCACCTGATGAATGAATAGACAAATTGTGGTCCATCCATACAATGGAGTATTATAAAGAATAATAAAATCAGGAAGGGTATGTGTCAGGCTTTTCTCCTTTCACCATACTTATTCAATCTGTATGCTGAGCACATAATGCAAGAAGCAGGACTCTGTGAAGAACAACAGAGCATCAGGATTGGAGGAAGGCTCATTAACAACCTGTGATATGCAGATGACACAACCTTGCTTGCTAAAAATGAAAAAGAATTGAAGTACTTACTGATGAAGATCAAAGACTACAGACTTCAGTATGGATTACACTTCTACATAAAGAAAACTAAAGTCCTCACAACTGGACCAAGAAGCAACATCATGATAAATGGAGAACAGACTGAAGTTGTCAAGGATTTCATTTTACTTGGATCCCCAATCAGTGCCCATGTAAGTAGCAGTCAAGAAATCAAGCGACGTATTG